TTGTTCACAAACCATAATATTACTTCTCTTCTATTTTCTTATTCTTTCTCTATTGTTCTTACTTATTTTGTAACATTTACTATATTTACTTAATTAAATAATGTGTGTAATCCAAATTTATTATATCTTATTTCTATTTTCTTTGTGATAAAATTTAGGCGCGATCATTGTCTATTTTTAGAAGAGTATAACCTAAAAATTGGCAATGATCCCCCCTAAATTTTATCACTCAATTTAATTTTTTCAGCGGCGCAGCGGCGTTCAGTTACAAGGTGTAATATTTAACAGATTTTCCTAACAAGAAGATACTATCTTCGTCTTCCAACATGCACAATTTCAGTTTAAATAAACATTCATAATGAAACTACTAATGAAGGTCAATAGGTATCCTACTAATGAATAGACCCTAAGTTGAGGTGGCATGGTTGGCCATCCTTCTCGCTACAATACACCGACTTATAGACTCCATACCACGTCGTGTAGCGATGATACGCGAAGCTCACGGAGATACTCTTGCTATTGATGTTTCTCCTCCCAGCAGAGTTGTGCCGCTCTCCATGTGAGAGTAAGTTATACTACTTTAGTACTACTTCCATACCAAATTTTATTGCGCTAACGCGGCGTCCTGCGTGTTAATTATCTCCACAATTTTGCTTGAAAGTTCATATTTAAAGTACAGACTTTTAAAAAAATATCGTAAAAAGTACAGAAAGAAAACAAATATAGTATTTTTACAAAGAAACACATTTGGCGAGTTCCATCATTTATATCCAAAATTAAGAAACGATTCTAAAATGTTTAAACAATATTGTGGAGTGTTACCTTCTACTTTCGATTACATTATTGCTGGTATTAAGTCTGAATTTCAATTAAAAACAACAAATTTTCAAAAACCTATTTCTATTGAAGAAAGATTACTGTTGACATTGCGGTGAGTACATAGAAATGAAACTACATAATATTGTATTATTGAAAATATTTTAATTATTATGAAATTATCACTGAGATGAATCACCAGAAGTGAAGTAACTCATCGTTGAAGATTCTGTGTTTGATGGGGTATTCAGTTTTGATATTTCGTTGATGAGCATCTCCTGAACCTGAGTCCGAAATAATAATTTATTCAGAGATGGTAGCTTTTTCATATACGGCATTATAGACTTGAACCAGTTCAAGTCGTCGTCGACTTCATTTAAATCTTTCTTCATTAGGTCTATTTTTTCTCGTTCGAGTGTTATTAAAATTTCTTCAATACTTTTTGCTGCACTTTCTTGTACCTTTTGGTTAGGCAACGCTCGCGATGGGGTATGCAACGATCCAGGTGTCGAGGTATCATATCGTATCTGTGCCGAAATAGCATTTTGTGCAGTTGCAGCATCAGTCGTAGGGCCATCAATTGTTGCCAAATTGGTATCATCTGTATTGAACTGCGATTCATCGGTTTGTGTATTGTATGATGTTTGCTCAGAAAGAATAGACATCATTGTATCATCATCGATAATGTCGCTTTCATCTAATATTTCATTTTGAATATTACTAGTAGTTTTACGAGGTTTCAAAATTGTCTTTAAAAATTGCATTGATTCAAAATGTGGCCAATCGCCTTGATATTGACCATTTTGATCTGCATCCGAACCCGATCTTGGCTTTTCTACTTTTTTAAGCTCTCTGTTATAGGAATCTCTTAAATTCTTCCACTTCTTTTTCACATCATCAGCTGAAATTGAAACAATATTATTATTTACAGATATTTGGTTACTGGAACACCATATAGAAAGTTATCATTCAATTTCCGAATATCAAAAACTGCCATCTCAAACATAGTGAAAGAAGTGTGTACTGGAATTTGGAAGACTTTAGTAATAAAACATATGCCTATACCTACAACTGAAATGTGGAAAAGTATCGCAAAAAAATTCTGGGAGAAATGGCAATTTCCTAATTGCATTGGTAGCCTTGATAGCAAACACATACGTATTAAGAAACCAAAAACATTTGGTTCTATGTACTACAATTATAAGGGATTTTTCTCTATTGTATTACTAGCCTTAACTGATGCTAACTATAAATTTATAATGGTTGATATTGGTGCCTATGGAAAAGATAACGACGCTGGAGTTTTTCACGCGTGTACTTTACGACAAGCAATAGAACATAAAAAATTACAAATACCGGAACCCGACTTTTTACCAAATACCCTCATTAAAGCGCCTTTTGTGTTTGTGGGTGATGCTGCATTCCCATTAAAAACATACCTTCTGAAGCCTTATGCACAAAAAAATGTCAGCGAGGGAGATATTAAAGAGCGGTTCAACTATAGATTGTCTCGAGCGAGGATGGTCGTTGAGTGTTCTTTTGGTTCAATAGCGTCAAGATTTGGATTACTTAATAGGCCAATTGAGACAGATATTGAAAATACAATTAACACTATAAAAGCTATAACTCTACTTCACAATATAATACGTGATCTTGAGAGTAATTGCGAAAATTTGACGTCAACTTCGTCACCTCATCTTCAACCATCAAGAAGATATAATGCCTCAAGTCAAGCAGCCATACATACAAGAGAGACATTCGCGAAATATTTTAATGAACATTGAAGGTTTCATATTATTAAATTATTTCGATGTCTCTATAAAATATATTTTATCTTCCAATATCAAGTATCCATTCGCTTCTTTAGGCTATTCTGCCAATATATTACTATATTAAATTACTAAACTTGATAATAATTTAAATAAAACTTACCTGTGCATTCTAATGCTTCGGCAACATTCTTCCAACTTCTTTGTATTAATAAACGATTCCTATAATGTTTATGTTTTTTGTCCCACAACAATCTTTGCTCACGAACTGCGGCGATCAACGCTTCTGAATCAACCATTACGTAGTTCGTTTTGTCGCATCTGGTCGCCCTCAAAACAAGTCCGCGTTACGTCGCGTCTCGCCGCTGACTGTCATATAGGCCGCAAGTAGGGTATGCCGTTGAGTTGATCGCGTTCGTCGCTCACGCAGGACACCACGTAAACACAAGCGTTCAGATTATACAGGGTGTGCTCGTGAATTATTTCCAACAGTGTATTATCTTCGTCTTCCAACATGCACAATTTCAGTTTAAATAAACATTAATAATGAAACTACTAAGTCTAATATGAATGTATAATACGGTCATAATTTTCAACTACTATGCACCATGGGAAAGCATTGACCATAATTAATACTTCTAATTTTTTCTAATAACTATGAAGTGTCGAATAGAGATAATGCATATAAATTATTGAATTACAATACTTATTAATTAATTAATTACATGTTTTTCTTTTTGTTTCAGCTTGTGTGCGAATTGCATGAGTTTAAGATAATCTAATAGTAAATATTTTGTGTGATATTCTATGGAATTTCTTTCAGTAGGTCTATCAAATTAATTTCGAAAAATGCTGAATTGATGGTGATAGTGATTTTCCAAATTTTTATATTATTTCCACAATATGCTACTGAGATGTCTAAATGATTCCATATTTGTAAAATGTATTTATTAACCAGCTTTTAAAGCTGTGCTATGGATAGGTACGCAAGCGTTATACTAAGAATGATTTCCAATAGAAATTGAATAATTCTTTGTGGAACGCATGTGTATGTGCAACCTGTACGTTTTGGGATCTGCTTTTTTGATAATTTGTTTTATTAAAATTCCCAAAATGTAACTCGTCTTTATAACTCTGCATATTTTTCTGTGTACTGGATATTATGTACAAGTAGTACTTGACTTACGACGGGATTGCGTTCCAATGACTTCGTCATAAGTCGGTTTTGTCTTAACTCAAGAATTGTTATGAACTGTTTGGTTTTACAGCTGACCCAAGATGAATTGGCCCCTCAAGGCCGTGTCAGTTGCGCGGAAGAAGGAGTGCGACGGTAAATCGTTAAAGGGGATCGCTATATCTGAGAACAGGTATAGAGCGGGTGTGACAAGAGTATAGCGCGTGGCAAAAGTTGATTTATAGGGAAACACGAATAATAGTTTTGCTACAAATTTTTGGAATTTCAACAAATTGTATTGTCTGTTTTGTTACTTCTTTGGGGAAATATGGGAAACGGCCGGATTAGTTAAGGCCGTTTTTTAGATAATAATTGTTAATATCTCTGCAAATAGTATTGTCTGTTTTGTTTCCTCTTCGGGGAAGTATGGGAAACGGCCAGGTTAGTTAAGGCCGTTTTTTACATAATAATTGTTAATATCTCTGCAAATAGTATTGTTTGTTTTGTTACCTGTTCGGGGAAATATGGGAAACGGCTAGGTTAGTTAAGGCCGTTTTTTACATAATAATTGTTAATATCTCTGCAAATAGTATTGTTTGTTTTGTTACCTCTTCGGGGGAAATATGGGAAACTGCCAGGTTAGTTAAGGCCGTTTTTTACATAAATTGTTAAAATACACTGTTGGACATAATTCACGAGCACACCTTATATAATCTGAACGCATGAAGATAAATCCATGATATTTGCGGAGCATAAAGGTTTACTGTAGACGAGTTTATTCATCGAGTTTCGAGTTGTTCCGTCGCGGCATTGTTGACTGAGCCGCTCTTCCAAGTGGAACATTCCGTCGCTATGGAGACCGAAGTGGATGGAAAATACCGGTCGTTTTTAGTGTGGTGTGAGGAACCACATTGTTATNGACAAATTTTAATTTGTCATCCCAAAAAGTCCCTGTGTATGAAATTTCATGAACTTATTTCGAAAATACGATTTATTTTCTCAACTTTGACACCCTATATCTTGGAAACGAAGCATTTGCGGACCCATCTTCATATGAACTTTTGTGCTTAAAATATAACAAGGAATCACCCATTGAAATTAAAGTCATCACTTAAGTTACACCCTGTATAATACTTCAATACAAGTTTTTATAAAAAAAAAAAATTATAATACATCCATATCGGAATCATCGTCTGACTCTGAAGATTCCTCAGTTTCGGAATCTTCCCCGAGGTTTATGATCAAGCTTTATCGGAATCATCGTCTGACTCTGAAGATTCCTCAGTTTCGGAATCTTCCCCGAGGTTTATGATCAAGCTTTCCATCACGTCGTCAAAACGTGGCTGCTGAGCAATGAAGGCGTCTTCAACTTTTATGGCGTGATCGCAGCGCTTCTTCCACTCTTCTTCACCAAATGTTGAAAAAAATCTATCGCATAATACTTCAACATCATCCCTTTTAAATGTGACATTTTTTGCGGCCACGTACTGCTTCATGGAAGTCCACACCAATTCAATTGGGTTGAGGTCGGGATGATAGGGTGGTAAACGAAGCACGTCATGATTGCGGTCATTTAACAACTTATCAAGTTCATATTCTTTGTATCTTGGCTTATTTTGTTTTATTATATTGTATAACTCCGGCTTTGTCATCTGAGGACAAAAATTAATGTTGCGCCGTCGCAACCAATCCGCCATCTCCATCTTCCGGGTTGTCGATGTCGGACATTTGTTCACTTGTTTGTTATGATATGGGGCATTATCAATAACCAATACACTATTGTCCGGCAAATTGGGTAACAGTTGATCGGTAATCCATTTCTTGTAATTCTTGAAATTCATTTCCCGGTGGTAATCCCCTGTAGTGCAGGAACTTCGCCAACGTGCGTACGCTCCAGGAACAAACCCATTCTCACTGCCGGCATGAACAATAATTATTCGATCGCCTTTAGAAACTGGTTTCTGGAGGCCAGTATTGGTATTATCATCCCAATTTTTGGCGTTGGTATGGGATGAGTGAATATATGTTTCGTCCATATAAATTATAGGGCGTTTTGCTTCCCTATACTGTTTGACATTTCTTAAAAATGTACATCTCAAATTGGCGATGTCATTTTTTTCCATTAGTAGCTTTCTATTGGTTTTTGTTTTCCTCCAGCGATAACCGATACCGTGCAATATTTTTCGCAAACTTTCTGGACAGCCCCCATACCCCGTATCCGCAGAAAATTTTGCTAAAATTCCCTTTGCGGTTGGTACCTTCTTTTCTGTTATATAGAAATTTTGAATTATTCGTCGAAGAATGTCTACATCGGTGTCATCCAAATCTATTTTGGTTTTTTTCTGGACACGATTTTCGTATAGAGTTGTTTTAAAGGTCGACGTTTCTCCACTATCAATTTTTCTAGATTCTGTAACTATCCGTTTTAAAGTTCTTACAGAAACTCCAGTCGCTGTCGAAACGCGATCCTGTATCTTTAAATACAACACTTGTAAGGTTAAAGTGATACTTAAAATTGGAATTAAATATTTACCTTTTGAAGTGGAATTATCCATTCGCCATTTTCGGATTCTTGCGTCGTGAATTTAAAAACGTTTGCAATCAATTCTTTAGATTCGACAACGCATTTGACCTTGAGGGGCCAGTTTGGTTTCGGTCAGCTGTACATGCCTAAATATCAATAAATAACTTTAAAAAATCTTGTATATACATAATATAATGTACATGATATATAATTACAATATAAGGTACATAATATGTATCTACTATTACAACTGATAAGAATTGTTTTTTTAAAAAAGTGTCAATGTTGCTTGTGTTGTGATTTTCTTTTTTTTAACAANATAATGTATCTTTCTTTTTAGAAAAACTTATTCATGTAACAACAATCTTGTATAATTCTTCATTTGAGTATTATAAATTATTGATGCAAGAATGAATTTTTTGATACAAAGAATTGATATTCTTCGATGCTAAGAATATAATAATAATAATAATATTATCGACGTCAACTTTTCCAAGTAAAACTTTTCCTTTGTAAAACTACCCAATGCCTGTACTTTAAGCTGTGTTGCATTTTATGTAGGACAGTGCAAGTGCAAGTGCAGTTATATGAAATTCCCGGTATAAATAAATTCGCTTTGGTTATCTTACTTTCATTAGTTAATTTAAAGTTTAAAAATTTACTCTTGGTAACATCTAATAAGAACGTCAATGACAACTTTCGACATCGTAACGAAGGTTACATTCTATGGAGTAAGTCAGAATGAACCCTGAGGGCGAATAAAAATTAGCTAGCGTTTCGAGGTTGCTTTTATACGGCCGGCTATATTTCAACAGCATTGTGGGCAAGAGAACCGGAGGGGGTAAAATAGCAAAAGAACGGTCGTGGAAAATGGAAAATGGAAAACCGACGACGCGGTCGTCAGGCGTGTCGTAAATTTCGACGTCGTGATATACCATACTCATAAGCCGTTCCATTTATGATAATAAAAACTCCTTCGACTTTCCTTGTTTTGTCTTAATAAAAATTTTGTTCTACTCACTATTTTTATTGTGGTTAAAATTATAAAAAGAACTTGATAAAACATTTCAAACGGGTTTAATACAGACAAATCATCTCCATAGATTTTCCTACCGGAATCCTCTAAGGAACATGCCGCAGAGAATTTCAACCGCATATACAGAACAGCAAAAACGTTCCTAGACCGGAATATGGAATGTAGTAGGAACATTGTTAGCTCATGTAGTAAGCCTGCACCTACTCTCGTATTGATTTTGCACACTCTATTTACGAGTAAATAAAAATCGCAAACGTGTACGAAGAAGAATGGCATTCGACGTGGCCCTTCCATTTGTATTTTCGCGTCAATACGCTTCGCGGTCTATTCGTTGGCGTTGCAATTTCGTTTGAGCAGAAGAGAACTCGTGATTGTATATAGCGGAAATGGGAAATTTTGATACAAGAATATTCAAAATAAAAAACCTACTCGTTTGTAAGCTAAAGAAACGTTGAACTGAATGATTTCTCTATTTTTATCTTTCAATATTTTCCAAGTTCATTCATGTAAAACGATATCTATTTATTATTTCAGTATTACTCTATACTAAATTATTTAATAACGAATTTACCTTGATTATAAAGAATTGTAGGTGAAAACATTTAGGTTATTTTAATAGATTTAATCAGAATTTGATGATTAATTTCAGGTTAATATAATTTTAATTAATGTGCCTCAGCCGCAAGCGACCTCGGCTTAGTTAATCAAAAATTCTACAACTTTATTTGATAAAAACGAAGCCGAAGCACCACAATGTGATGATGAGTTTCAGGTTGATATAATTTTAACAACTTCCCTGTCCAATGAGTCATATAAGACTCACAGAAACGTATTAGAATAAGTTCATGAGTCATTGGTGACTCATTTCTCTATATAATTTGAGGAACATATGTGGACGTATAGGAAAAAACCTAATGTTGTAACAATGTAACATTCTAAACAGAACGCTTTTTCACAGCTTCTGCACTCAGTGTGTACTTGCTTTGCTTTTCTTGCCAATAACCCTTTATTTTTCAACTTGACATAACACACAGTGCATCTTTTACGGACGAGTTTATTGTTTGCATTTCGAGGTATTTCTTGTAAAGAATGTCTAGAATTGCTTGAAGAGGCTATTGAAGATTTTGAAGAGCTAGAGGAAATTGAAGATCTTTGAGGTTGCTTACATTCTGTGGTTGATGCTGCAGGTCCAAGGAAATGTCGGACTAGATGTTCTTGGACTTGTAAAACTGTCAACATAGGGCCGTCTGCCAACTCGTTCTAGATGCATCTGGCATTGATAATGGCGACTCGAAATAGTAAATCTATTGCTATCTTTTTGTACCCCGTTAAACTTTTACGTAACGGCGAATGAAGGGAAGCAAGTTGATCTGAAATATCAATGCATTTTTTCGCATCATTGTAATCGATGATTGCATCAGGTTTCATAACGACGTTTGGTAGTTAGACATACCGTCTCCATGACAGGTTGAGATCATCAGGACGTCGCGTTTATCATGCCATTTTAGTACAGTATAGAGGTTGTCCTTTTGTCTAGCTATTTGTTCTCCCNTTGAAGATCTTTGAGGTTGCTTACATTCTGTGGTTGATGCTGCAGGTCCAAGGAAATGTCGGACTAGATGTTCTTGGACTTGTAAAACTGTCAACATAGGGCCGTCTGCCAACTCGTTGTAGATGCATCTGGCATTGATAATGGCGGCTCGAAATAGTAAATCTATTGCTATCTTTTTGTACCCCGTTAAACTTTTACGTAACGGCGAATGAAAGGAAGCAAGTTGATCTGAAATATCAATGCCTTTTTTCGCATCATTGTAATAGATGATTGCATCAGGTTTCATAACGACGTTTGGTAGTGACGTTAGACATACCGTCTCCATGACAGGTTGAGATCATCAGGACGTCGCGTTTATCATGCCATTTTAGTACAGTATAGAGGTTGTCCTTTTGTCTAGCTATTTGTTCTCCCCTTCTTAGCTTCGCTTTTACTACTTCTTCTGGCAAATTTCTTTTAGTTTTACGTAAAGTGCCGCATAAATCAGTATTGCGACCTTTTAGATACTCAGCCAATGGCAAACTGGTATAATAGTTATCAGCGACGATAATACGACCTGCATCTAAAAGCGGCTCTATGAGCTGTACCACTGTTGAACCAGATTTATCAAGTCCCTCTAATTGGTGCGAAATCCCGGAATAAATTTGGTAGGACCATGTGTAACTATTTATTGTGCAGGCCTTATATATTTTCATACCGTAGCGATCTGTTTTGGTTGGGTTATAAGTTCTCATTAGCAATCTTCCATGAAATTTGACCATCGACTCATCAACGACAATAATTTCGGAAGGTATATATAAAGACTACGAAAATTGTTTACCATTTTATGTATGAGTGGGTCTATTTTATGAGTTCTTCGCTCTCCAATGACACCTATTTGGATTTCAGTAAAGTGCCAGCATCTTAGAATGGAGCTGAACCTGTTATACGACATATTTATTTTGTGCATAAGAGGATTATTTCCAGTAGTGCTCGATTGACGGCTTAGGATAGGCCGCGTACATATCTGCCACAAAAGGTTTCTCTTTTAATGCCCGAACCTTAATCGCGGCAAGTTTTTCAAAAATCACCACATCAGAGACTGGTACCGCCGCGGATAGCACGTCCAGATAGAAGCCGTCGAGTGGTCACCGGCACACTTAACGGAACGAGGTGCACCATTGCACATCCGTTGGGAGTGACCGTAACGCTGACAGCGATGACCCTGTCCGACTTCCGTCTTCTTTTTAGCGCTCTCGACGGTCATGGTCAATCCCTTTACCGTCTTGAGATCGAAAATCCTCTTGGCGTCCGCGGTGTTTTTCAAGACACACAGAACCAGGGGAATTGGTCTCCTTTCAGAGCTCTGGCGCAACCGTTTCACGGTTTCTGTCCAGAATCCCTGCTTTCTCAGGTCGGTAGCAATGCTATCCTCCCCAATACTGGTAGGGACGCCTGGAAAGACCACCTTTAGCAGCTTTTCATCGGGGAGAGCAAATGTATGGTACTGATGTTTACCAACCATCAACATTTTCACCAAAGCGCGGTAGGCTTCCACGGTGGGGAGCTCTATCTTGATTCTTTGCGGAACCGCTCTGGGTTTCGAAAAGGCGATCCTAACGGTACGTTCACACACATACTGTTTACAGGACCTTTTTTTGCGGATCCGATTTTATTTCTGCGAAGACGTATATATTTAAACGGGCGTGTTCAAATATATGACAGTATACCGGATCCAAGGTTTGTACAGCGTATTGTACCAGGTTGGCCAGAGATGGAAAAACGCGATTTGAAGAGTGAAGGGGGGATGACGTCACTAGATCTGGAGATCCGAATCGGAGTAGACGACGAACCTTTTCTAATATAAACAGAACAAAAAGTTAAGTCTTTATTTTGGTCTAAGTTTTATTTTTTTATTCAAAATTTGTTTAATTTTAATGATTTTTCTTTTAAACGCATTTAATTTTTTTAACGATTCATACTTTTCATTTAAAAAGTTAATTCAAATAAGACGATATATTTAAACNGGTACGTTCACACACATACTGTTTACAGGACCGTTTTTTGCGGATCCGATTTTATTTCTGCGAAGACGTATATATTTAAATGGGCGCGTTCAAATACATGACAGTATACCGGATCCAGTAAAAAATACTGATCCGTCAAAATGTGTCGTTCCGTTTTGCCAACAAAAACTGGACGTCGAAACAGTAAAAATACGAATCAGCGCTCGATATATTGGCACCTTTACCTTTTTTTTTGTGTAGTGAAAGACGATAGTACCAAAATAACACAAGAACATCCATTCTACGCGACTTTCGGTCGAATAATGATCGACCTCCCAATAGTGTGTGAATATAAATAATAGTCTGATCCTGTAAATACGGAACCGTTGAATTGTGTGTGAACATCACATCCAGTAGTGACGGATCGGAGAAAAAACGGTCCTGTAATACCGGGCCGCTGTGTGAACGTACCGTTACGGTGTATTACGGCTGGATCTGGTGACGTCACGATGAGGGCATCTAAGGGGGGGAATATTTTCGTTCATTGAAAAGGTTGAGTCTGGCCAACCTGGTACAATACACTTTACAAACCTTGACCGGATCCAGTAAAAAATACTTATCCGTCAAAATGTGTCGTTCCGTTTTGCCAACAAAAACTGGACGTCGAAACAAGAAAAATACGAATCGGCGCCAGATATATTGGCGCCTCCACCTTTTTTTTGTGTAGTGAAAGACGATAGTACCAAAATAACAACGCGTAAAATGGATGTTCCATTTTACGCGACTTTCGGTCGAATAATGATCGACCTCCCAATAGTGTGTGAATATAAATAATAGTCTGAGACTGAGAATAATAGCCTCGCTGCACGCCGAGGCGGATCTTGGCTGGCGTGCTTTCTTGGTCGTCGCCTTCAACGAGGACGGCCGGCCTGAATTTTTTGGTAGCAGCCTCCACAGGGGAGGCGGAACTGACCCGGCGTGAGGGTTTGGTCGCCGCCTTCAACGGGGAAGGCGGACAAGCTGACGATGCGTTTGCCACCTCCACGGGCGTGAGGGTTTTGTCGCCGCCTCCAGCGGGGATGCGGCTGGGAAGAACGGGAACCAACTTCCCGTTCTTGTCGACGGTATGTGTGTCGACCAAACTTGCTAGCAAGCTAAAGTCTTCACACGATGCGGACGTGCCCCTTCCAAATTTAAAAGGCATTTCTGCCGATTAAACTATGAGGCAAAAACTCCCTTGTTCCCTTGCGGGAACAACCCTAAAAAGGGCGCTCTTAGTTTCGAAAGAAACTTATCTGCTCCGGATTACGCCTTGACGAGGTCACCGAGGTAGAATATGAACCTTCCCCCTTCCTTTTCCAAATTTAAAAGGCATTTCTGCCGATTAAAAGATAAAGTGAGAACTCATTTTACCTTGCGGGGCAACAAACCCTAAAAAGGGCGCTTTCAGTTTCAAAAGAAACTTACCTGCTCCGGATTACGCTTGACGAGGTCACCCATGTAGAACTCGAATCTTCCCCCTTCCTTCGCTCTCGCTGCAGGTGGTGGATTCTTCAAACTTCCATTAGAGAATATTCTGTCATAGTTGCTCACCCAATAAATAAATCATTAGATATCGCCCAATTTATATCGTTTATGAAATTTATAGGAAATTAATTCTCAACAGACCTTTATTTTTAATTTTTTGCATTTTTCAACCGAATTTGACAATGTATTTGCGGAGCTTTGTAGATTTAGGGACTTTAGCTGTAAATGTGGAGGTTGCATTTATTTTTCTTCAAATTTTATAATAAATAAACAGAAATAATTATATGAGCAGCAAGCGTTTTTATTGTAACATATCTCATTTACAATTTCTAGGATATCATTAAAATCATTAAAATCAGTTTCTTCGTTTTCATAATTTTTTGTATTTATAAATATCAACGTTTTATCACTTGGAGTGAAACTATGGCGGCTGCAAATCTGTTCATTTTGAAAGTTTATTTTCATTCTCAAAATGGCATCTGATTTTACACCTAACTAAATTCATTATTGAAAATACACGTTTCACCACTGCATTACTGAGTGGCAAAGACAACAGTTTCTAAGCAAAATTAGATATATGAAGAAACATGAACTCACCACCTGCATTTCTGTATCTACTCACGTAACTCCAGAAATCAATAGGATTACTTGTAATATTTCCATTAAACTCTTGCATTCAGTTTATGACAATCAAATATCTCCACTCATTTTCGGAAAATGTTTTAATTGTTTTTCTCTGCTAAAATTACAATTAATGTTACTGTATTGTACAGCAATGGGTTCAGAAAAAAAATCTCTATCCAATAACGTGAAGAAAAACATCCGAGCAATTTGAAAATCAAAAGTTGATAATCGCTTGAAATTGAAGACGGGGTTGGAAAAAATCGGAAGGTAAATGACAGAGTTACAGCTTAGGGCGTTTTTTTATCTGACACCTGTATATAATATAACGCTACTACGCAACACAATTTTATGTGTTTCATGTTTTTATTATGTTATTAATATTAACGGCAGAATATTTTTATTATACTTTTTGTTTAAAATTTATACGACGTTGGGATTACTTTTGCTTGGATTAATGCTAAACTGACACGATAGAATTGATAAATATCACCACGAACTGGAACATTGTTGAATTCGAATAAAGTTTTGAAAATGTGAACCATTTCAAATCCCATAGATCTTATAGTGATTGTTAAAGTTATTGCCTTCAATGTATTAACTGCTTCAAGTCGATCAAGAGCGTTTTCGGCGGTTTTGACTACAGGGAGAAGTTTTCTGTGTAATTCTTCTGATAAGTCATACTTTGTTATTTTTGATTGACCAGTGCGATAAACATCTGCTCTTGCTGACTGATATCTTTTCTTCCCAGAACGCGTTTCNTTACAAAAACCATATACAAATAACATGTCTGTATATTCTAAATGTGAATAAGTACTTGGCATTTTATAACACTTAATGCAAATCAAACTGTCAAAAATCTACGTTAAATGTTTAATTGTAGTTATGCAATCAATTGAAAACAAATGAAAATCGGATAACAACATATGAGTTTTTTTACATTATTTTCAAGCGTACAATACACTCCTAAAGTTTGGTCCGTTCCTCCCGACTCACCCTGTATATATTTCGCAAGTATATTCTACCTTTATAAAACTTAAAGAATATATTAGAAATAATAATACAAAAATACATTAAAGTAAAAAGTAACTTTCTAAAATCTCAACATCCCCTCATCTATGTCATCTTGTGGTATTTCTGACAATATTTGACTGCAATCATTACAAAAGCATTCTATGTGCATAAGACAAATGGGTTTTTTTACATTTTTTGCAATTATATTTTGTTAAACGCCTTTGTCCAATGCACGTATGACATCTTTTGCGTTTTCCTACATTTTCATTTTCTTCTTTCTGTTGTTCTTGGTCTACTGGCGTAATTTCTTTCAGACGTTGTTGCATGCCAGTANATATTTTGTTAAACGCCTTTGTCCAATGCACGTATGACATCTTTTGCGTTTTCCTACATTTTCATTTTCTTCTTTCTGTTGTTCTTGGTCTACTGGCGTAATTTCTTTCAGACGTTGTTGCATGCCAGTATGAATCCCTGATGTCTCTAAACTTCTTCGAGCCATATGAGGTAAAACTAATGCATGTGATAATGCTTTCAAAAATGTTTTTTTTCGAATAACATTTTGATCATTGCCAAAATATATTACCTGAGCATTGATTCCGCTAATGTTGAGCATAGCAAAAAATACCACCATGGGCCAACGGCGAATATTTCTAGCCACGTTGAATGACGCACACAGTTTATCTGCAGTGTCAACTCCACCTTTGGTACCATTATAAAAAGTAATGATACATGGCTTCTTTTTATCTCCGATATCAAGATCGATAGAGTTATCTTCATGTAAACTTGAAGCCAAAATCACAGATTTTCGTTTTTGAGGAACGTAAGAAACCAAAGTGCACCCCTTCTTGAAGGCAAACAAGCTACTGTTAACAACTCTCGTCTTATTTGGCAGGAACTCAAGTGGAATTTCGATCTTATTTTTCTTTAATGTTCCAACGTAAGAGAGCTTTTTACTTCGTAACTCGTCTATCAATGGAATACTGGTAAACCAGTTATCTGCTGTTACATTTCGTCCCGTCTGATAAATAGGTTGGCAAAGTCGCAGAACCACATCCGACGGTGAACTGCTCAATCGGAATGGGCCTTCAGGTTGTAATCCTGCATATATTTCTAAATTATATACATAGTAAACCTGAGAATCAACAAGTGCGTAGATTTTAACTCCATATTTATTAGGTTTATTCGGTATGTATTGTACAAAACCGCATCTTCCACGGAATCCCTCCAGTTTCTCATCAATAGTTACATTTTGTCCCAAACTATAGGACTTCTGTGAATTTTTCACGAACATTGTAAAAATGTCTCGAATTGCTGCAATTTTATCTATTTTTCTTCTTTCATTCCTCATGCTCCGATCGTCAAATCGCATACAACGCATAATGAATTTAAATCTTTTGATGTTCATGACTAGTCGAAATTTTTCAATGCCGTCCCCGTCGGATCCCCACAGGTCTTCCAAACTTTGTCTGTTACCTCTGTGAACACCAGCTAAATATAAGAGACCTATAAATGCCTTCAGCTCAACAATATCTGTAGGTTTGGCATCTCTATCGAGTTTGAAGAGTNATCCAAGCTTTCCCATTACGGAAAACTTCAGCATTTTGTCCTCCAGGGCTTTTTTTTTATGTGCGTACCGTCGATGCTTCCATTCACACCTGAAAATCCACCAAGCAAGAAAAATTTTCTTTTATGTCTTGCAACTTCTGCCACTGTGGATGGAAACTTGATATATTGAGGTACCTTGCGAGCTAATAGTTCCGACACTTCCGAGATTGTTAAGGAACATGTGGGCTGACTTATGTTTACAAGATCACCGCATACCACCTATTATTTTGGTATAGATCAATTTTTATATTTTCAATTTTATCTCATGTTTACCTGTATACTGCCAGTTGCGTATAAACGTAAGGCGGCTTTCACAAACTTTCATTATGGGAGGAATCAGTAAACCCCGTCTTGATTGGTTCTTATTTTGTCCATAAACAAGTGGCATAATTATGGTTTCTATTTCGTGTCTTCGTAACCTGTACCTCAGCTGTGATTGGTCTTCGCGATAACCTGAATCATTTTTCATTGCTCATAGCAATGGCTTCCCACATAATGGGAATATTGTATTCCCATTAACGCTGTCCAAGAGATTGTCAAGAAATTTGATTGCTTTTGCTGTCCCAATGGCAGATTTGTTTAAAAATATATCGCTGTATAGTCCTACAAACAATACCTTAGAATTAGGTTACTATAAAACACCATGGATAAAATGTATGTAATGAAATAAAAGTTATACTTTTCATGTACTACACGTAATAACAATAGCACATTACCTGTTTTTGCCATAACATTTATATTGGCAGCTAACTAATAATTGAGTTGCATTTGCAATCTTCATTTTCTTTAAAATCTTTTTGGGATCACAGTGCTCTTCTGTTAACTTTGGCAGTCTTAATTCACCTGAAGCATTATCCAATAAATAGACATTATAAATAACCTCCCATTTTGCTTTGATACAATCACCATCTTGCTTCCATACCAAATTTTTTGTTAGCAAATTATTTCGTATACCCTTTATTAAATAAGGCGGATCATACATATATATGATATATAACATTCTTTTCAATGTTATAGCATTTCCCGATTGGATATTCCTGTTCATTTAAGGGGAGGTTCCCGTCCAAAGGCAATAAAAATGCTTCAATTTCCGGATTTTTTTTTGAATACAAAATAAATTATTTTGCGAAATTTTTTTTATGAGTTTAGTTTATATATAAATGAAGTATTATGTTGAATTGTTTCGTAATAAAATAATTGAAAATGGCGGCTCCAGATCTCGTCAAAGAAGTCCGCTCCCGGCGCGATGTGTTGTGCGCGGTACCTTCTGCAGCCTCGCCAAGTGATCTGAAATCAAAAAACCAAGAAAAATCATAAAATAGATTAAATTTGTGGGGCCCTATCGGTTTCCGATTTTTAAAAAAGCCCTTTCAATCAAAATGGCGGCCGTTTGCAAAAAAACTCATTTTCTCATGCTTTTTTTGGGCTTCAACTTAAATAAAAATATATTTACAATAATTTTTTTGAAAAAAACGCTCCGTCAGGGCTCCCCAAATTTAATTAGCTTTAATTTGAGAGGTGAAACTTTGCAATCGGTGCATTCCTCGAAGCTCTAGAGCGTACCGCGCTTCGAAAAACATTGTTTCGAGAAAAACGCATTTAAACGTTTATANGTAATATCTTTCTTCTAGCAAAGATTACTTACGACTAACTGGTTTCGTTCCGTAGGAGAATGCGAGATAGGAAGCTATTGGTAACGAATATTTCCGACTATTTACGAGTCAAAAGTACTAGCACAAAACATTTCCGTTGTATCAATCTGATTAGCCGATTTGACAACTCTTGATCGCTAACACTTGAAATAATTTGTAAGCCAATGCTGTTACATTTTCGAATTATTTTCTTGAATTCTAATCAAATCTATTGTTTTTATGTAACTTTTTGTAAAACCAAATGCTATTGGCTGTTGTCAATCTCTGCTGGCCCCCCTTAACATAAAGACAATTGCATGGTCAGCTATATCATCTGAAGATGTCTCCTAGATCTTGCAAACCTTCAAAATCCGTACTATTTCCATTATGAGGAATATGTGGTTGTATAGCCATTTCATCAATTAATTAAATACAAATTTAACACGGTGTGATGGTTAAATTCAATTTATTAGCACTTTCTTCATCAAATTCCACTTCAATATCGGTTATTATTGAAAATCTTGCCTGCACGCACTTCCAAACATCGAGTTTTTTGATTTTTGATTGCTCTTGACATAATATATTTGGTCATAGTAGGACATTACATTTATTTATTTGTTTATTTATTCTGTTTACGGGATACAAACAGGAAAAATCCTAGTGAAGTATCCACTAGAAAAACAATTGTACAACAATATTTTTTCAAAGTGACAATCAGATCACAAGATAAACAAAGAAACAATCATAATACAAATCAAATCAAATTAATTGTATAAAATTAACTAAATGGTAAAAAAAGAAAATTAACAAATTATAATTACTACCGCACTACATCCGAAGAGGCAAGGGCACGTTTAAACGATTGCAAGGACATGCCGACAAGTCACACAAATAGCAGTGCCGATTATAAAACTGCATAATACGTAGCAAAGGTGAATTCATGTGATCGATCGAGGCGGATACGGGCAATCTGAACAGGCTATGAGCGCGCACATTATATAAAGGGGTAATGTAACATACTTCGTAGACAAGGTTTGGGCAGTCTATCAACCCATTTACTAACTTAAACAGAAATGTTGAATCCGAGAAGTTACGGCGACTCCGCAAGGTCCTCAGACCAAAGATCGCACATCTCCGAGCATAATCGCAATATGGCAAGAAAAACTTATGCGCTAAATACCGTACAAACCTTTGTTGCACCAACTCAATACGATCAACATAAGTTGCATACACGGGATTCCTAATCATTGACGCAAAATTAAGAATGCTGTGCACGTAAGCCATATAAAGTTTTATGATACAGGATATATTGGTGAAAGCTCTACACGATCTAATAATAAAACCCAAACGTTGCAGAGCCAAACAGCAGTTTAGAGTCCATCGCAATTCCGAAATCGTTAAAGCAAAAACTAGACTGTAATAGTTCAGCAGTGAATCTGTAGGGGTAATTCACGGGGTAACGTTTTCTTCCATAGGTAATCTTGCTGCAATTATTCAGATTAAGAAAGAAATAGTTTTCAGAGCAAAAATCATGTAATCGATTTAAGTCTTCCCATAGCAAATCACAATCAGACAAAGACCGAACATATGAAAAATTTTGCAATCATCAGCATACAACAAAAAATTAGAGTAACGAAAACATTTATTAATATCGTTAATATACGCTAAGAAAAGTATGGGTCCAAGATGACTTCTCTGCGGTTCTCCGGAAGTAACCAGTACGAAATCAGATATAAAGTTGTTAGAAGTCTGTTAGATATGTATGATCCAAGCCAACGTAGCAGGCCTTATGAAAGGTCAAACGCTTGTAATTTTATTTGTGACGGGTGTTGGTTGATCTTTGCTGAGCTGTAGCATTTTTTGATATTCGCTGGCAAGTTCTACTAGGTTATAAGCAGGTTTCTGGATTGTTTCTGATCTTATTTGACATGTTTTCCGTTTACATGAAGCCGTAATTATATTTGACTGTACTGTAAAGTTTTAATGGACGGTCGTCGAGAATGACCCTGTATATCTTTGAAGAAAAGTCGTGAAGTTTGCGAGCGATTTAATTCCATTGTTATACAAAGGAAATTCTAATCAAAATTTCAAAAACGGTCAGCATTTATGGTATAAAATTATATGAACTTTTAATAAAACTTTAGGGATCAAATATTCTACCAAATATATGGGGATGATGAAAATGAAGAAGTAATGGTCAAGCGTGAAAAGTTAGATAAAAATGAGAAACAATAAGGAAAAATTTATAAAAAAACATGAATGCGCGTCGACGATATATCTCCACCCGATTGTATATCACTAACTTTTATTTTCTGATAGTGTAAATTTATGTAGGTCTGATTAGAATAGAACGCTCGCTATGTTTTATGATAACATATAATCTATTAAAAATAAATTTATAAGTTAATTCGATATTAAAGGGTGAATGAAATTAAATCGCAAAAAACATTTCATTTTTTATTGTAATGGAATAACTAAAAATTAAATTGAATTAATTATATTTGATATTTATAAGTATAAATTACTTATACATGTTCCACAACAAAATTCGCCCCTGGTGGCTATAACTACAGATCCGCCTGGGGCATCTACGATTACAATGATCTGACCGACCCCCCATTCAGGATATCGTCAATCTCATCAGCCTCTACTAATACTACGAGCCCCTGTAAGTTGAAAAGAATGATGTATTACTAGTGGTTACAATTCGGAAAGAATAAAGATCGTTAAAATATTACTTACATTTTCCAAAATTAACATGCATAAACAGAACGTGAAGTCTATTACTTCGTCTGGCAACGGCATCTTTGTTTTAAAATACATTTTTCCTCTTTATATGTTAGACTAGCAAGATAAAGTATCGGATTCGATTTATTATAAGAAAAATAATTCCTAGAAACAGTATGTATTATTGTCTCATAAATTGTAAATTATACAGTTTTTGTTATGAGAGAACGCCTGAAGAACCGTCAGAATTTTTTTTCACTAATAAAACATATTCAACTATTTTTTCAATTATCGCTGAAAACTGTGGGTGTTTAAAAGCGTCGACACGTGTGATCTCTGCGGGCGGCGGCGAGGATTTTACGCAATGATCGGTGACACTGATACGGATACTGTGGTCAAGTCCCTAGCGGAAGACGGATCCATCGACAGCGTCGCCGTGGATTCAGTCAGGGAAATTCAGCGTGCCAACGAGCTATACTGTTTGTAGCATCCTCTGAACTGTGCCGAAGAGTTACAGTGGAGTTGTGGTGTGTACCGTGCCAATGAGCTACAGTACTCAGCCTATTATCGCGTCAGTTGAGCTATAGTTTCGTCTGGTTTTTACCGAATGATGAACTTGACATGCTCCTTGAGCTAC